CTCTCTCTCTCTCTCTCTCTCTCTCTCTCTCTCTCTCTCTCTCTCTCTCTCTCTCTCTCTCTCTCTCTCTCTCTCTCTCTCTATCTATCTCTCCCTCTCTCTCTCTCTCTCGTCCGCAGAGTTCGACGCACAGGATACCCGTTTGTCGCGTTGGAGGGGTATGGCTCACGCGGCAAATGAATTGCGGCCGAACGTGAGTACCATTTTTGTACCCGTTCGGACTATTTCCCCTGCGCCACCACCCCAGCAGGCACCCCGCAAACGCCCTGCAGGACGCAAAGGGGTTCGCGCATTTTGTTTTTGGGGCGGTTCCCGACAACGGACACTACCACCCCACACTTTCACAAAACCCCTACCCCCCCCCCCAAATGCGCGGAAACACGGTTCACGGACCCCGTTCATTCGCGTCCAACGCGCGTTTGAACGGGGATTGAACGCGAATTTAACGCGCGTTCAATTTTTCAATGCGAAACCCGCGTTGAATCGATTTTCGGACACACAGAGTGTTGCTGGTGTTGCCAAGGGGATTCGTGTTTCTGGCGGCGATTAGTCCTGCGATATGAGGGTGCGGCTCGATTCCCAGAACTCTCCTGCAGCGCGGGCGCACTCCTGGCTAATTTTCAAACTTCGGTTCCTTCGGTTTATCCCGCGCCAAAATGTTTGTGCGGGCTTGACGAGTCTGACGCCGAGGTCTGAAATCCCCGAACCGGATGCCCCAATATCCGCGCCTACCAGGCGGCCCGAGGAATGAAAAACTCTGTTTCCCCGTCGTTTCCTCCCATTCTTCTTCCTTCCCTTTTTGATTGTTTTCCCTTTCCGTAGATTATCATACCGGAAGGACGCGGATGTTGAGCGGGGACGCGGATGTTGAGCGGGGCCCTGTTGAGACTGAGGAGGAGAGGGATCCCCGTTTGGACCGAGAGGAGGAGGAGCGGCTGAGGAGTTTGCCAAAGTAGGAGGGTCGGTTCACGTATGTTGACGATCAGCGTTGGCAGAGGGACTTGGAGACAGCAGCGGGGGGGAGCCGTGACGTCGACGACTCGGGTGTCCCTGAGGAAGAGGTTCAGGGGGAGTTCGATTATGAGGGGCAGGATGTCGCCGCGGGTGGTGGGTCAGGTGGTGGACGAAGCGGCGACGAGGAGACCGTGGGTGTCCCTGACGGGCAGGATGTTGTCATGGGCGGTGGGTCCCCTAGTGGAGGCCGTGGCGACAGCGAGACCGCGGGTGATGAGGGACAGGCTGCCGCAATGTGTGGCAGAGGAGAGGGTGGACCCGGTGGAGATGGAGATACCGCGGGTGTCGGTGGAGACGATGGACCGGACGGCGACGATGACGACGACCACGGTCCCGAGGACGATCCGTATAGGCTCGCCTTGGTGTTGAGGGACCCCACAGTGCCTCCCTTGCGCCCAAAGGATACAACACACACTTTCTTCGACGTCGACGCTTTGGCGCACGGGTTGACGGATGACCGTTTCGCACACGTGAGCCGCAAGAGTGGCAAGCAGCGGGCCCCTGGGAGGGTATATTCACCGCCGCCGTTCACAGTGTAGAGCCCTCACTGGTCGGGTTCGTCGCTCAGCGGCGTGAGAGAGAGGGACTCCGGTGCGGGTGAGGTGGGGTCCGGTAGACACAGCGACGACGGTAGAGATAGTGCAGGGTCGATGCCTCCACCGCCCGCATGGACTTCGAAGGCCAGGGTCGACACCGGGGACTGGACGGCGGCACCTGGAGTTGCGCAGAGTGGCGGTTCCCCACCGACAGTCCGAGGTGGTGTGGGTGGCGGATGGTCAGCTGTTCGTCGGGTCGGGGACCGGTTGCGGGCGGATTACGACGCCGGGAGGGGCGTCTTTATGGGACGTACGGCTGTTCAGACGCAGGCTGTGGAGGGCGGGTCCGGACGTCCGAGCCTGCAGATGGCAGGCCGCATGCTTGGTTTGTCACGAGCAGATACGAGGAGATCATTGGTCCTCGAGGCCGCAGGGACATCCACGGACAAGCTGCGAGGAGAGCAATTCACATCGGGCGAGGAGGGGTTGTTGATGCGTCCCAGGACAAAACAACAGCATGGCCTCGTGGAGGTTGAGGATAGACTCGCTGCAGGGGTCACCACTGGGCAGGCAGCATTGGACACGATTCAGAGGGAGAGAGAGGGGGGGATTGCTGCACAGGCGGAGGAAGACGAGGACACAGACACTGAGTCCGAGCCGATCGAGACTGCGGCCCGCACACACAAGCCACAGGTGGCCGGGGCGGCCGCTGCAGCACATGCGGCATACGTCAGCGGGGCACGCGGCATAGGTGCCGGAGGGAGAGGAGGGCGCCGGGGAGGACCGCATGGCCGCCCGTCCTCCGGGAGAGGCCGCGCGCGCTCTGGTGGGAGATGACGACATCCGTGGTGTTTTTTTTTTTTTCATTAGTTTTTTTTTGTTTTTCGTGTGGCTGTACAACCTAGACACTCTGTCGGCAGGGTTGTTGCATATTTATGTCGATGTTGTTCCATGGAGACGACGACAGTATGTGGACATTAGGGTTTTTTTTTTTTTTTTGCTACTCGGTTGTACAGTAGAGACGACGCCCGTCCACGGGTCCAATTTTTTTTTGCTACTCTATTGTGTAGCAGAGACGATGGGTCCAGTTTTTTTTTGCTCCTTGGTTGTACAGTAGAGACTACGGGTCCAGTTTTTGGCTTCAGCCT